GGAGGGGGCAGGGCTGCAGACCTCCTGCGTGGTGTAGACACCAACGAGGCGGGACTGGGTGGTGACTGGCAGGATCAAGAGAGCGCGAGGCGGGACTTAAAACGGATGGGCGGGGCGAAGCTACCCGGGGCGGAGTCTTGGTGACTAAGGAGGCGGGAGGCGGAGCTTGAATGGGACAGGGCGGGGGAAGTAAATCATGGTGATGTCACACGGTAGAGGCGGAGCTTAATGTAGGTGGGCGGGGTCGTTGCCTGGGGGTGGGGCTAGGGCCGCTGAGGCTGGAGGTGGACTGTGTGTGGCAGGAGCAGCCTTCTCCTCCCTGGGGTGGACTGAGCTCTCACGTCCTGCAGATCCACCAGGCTTTAGCTTGGAGATGAGACTGGGCCACTGCCGTGAGGAGATACCCACTCTTCTCCGAGGATGCTCCCAGCTCTTAACTGAACGGTACCTAAATAACCCATCCTGTCCCCTCTCTGCCGGGTCACAGGGCCCCGGATCTTACCGATCCGCTGACTCTGCAACTGGGGCGCAAAGACTTCTAGCCAACCGCACCCGGCTGGCTGGGACACCCTCCACCTGCCAGGTCGGGGCGGCCTGGCCCAGCGAGTTAGGCCCAGCGGTACCCACCAGAGCCCACCGCATAATTTATGTGTCGCAGTGCAAAATGAAAAGTGGAGCTCCTTGTCAATGTTAAGCATTACTCGAGATGCCAACAGAGGAGACAGAGTCACCTTAAAATCGTGGCCCTGGAGGGAGACAGCAGCCCCTGGCCCTCAGGCCTTTCTTCACCTCTGCGGAGCTGGGCCAGAAACAACAGCTGTGGACCAAGTGACCGGAGACAGGGCTGGCATGGCTTCCGGGGTCACAGGACTGCGCTGGTGCTGGCAACTCGGGCAAAATTGCATTTGCGCTCATCCAGCCCCCTCCCACACACACTCATGGGTGAGCACCTGAACCCCCACATCCTGACGGACGTCAGGACCACTCTGCAGGCCCCTAGCACAGATCCACAGAACTTACACCCCCCCCCCGCCCAATTCTTAATCTTTGGCTGTTTCTGCTCCACTCTGGCATTAACAGGCATGAGGGGGATGTGTCACAGACAGACAAGGTGACTTTGCACTGAAGATTGAACCCAGGGACCCACGCATGCCAGGCAAGCACTCTACCACAGAGCTACACCCCTGGCCCACTTTTTATTATATTCTGAGACAGGTTTCGCTAAGTTGCCAAACTTGTGATCCTCCTGCCTCAGCCTGTCCAGGAGCTAGGATTACAGACGTACCCTATCATGCCCAGCTAAAATTTAAATTTTTACTGCACAGGTTGGCAGTTCCCCAAACGCAAAGCATCCTGTGATCATTTTTCCCTACTCTGCAGACGGAGGGCTCTGAGCCACAGTTTCTCCCCAGGGCAGGCAGGGCCCTTCTGTCTATTCTCTGAGCCGTCCAGTGGGTTTTGGAGTGAGGAGTTGGTGACCCACGTCCTGACGGACTTTGTGGCCTTGATACACAGGGGGATATGGCCCGCTCCACCCGGAACCAAAAGCCTTCTCATGGCTCTGTGCTGTCTGACCTCTCCACATTTGGGGTCTTGGCCAAGAATCGCTGACTCTCCTGACATTTTTTCCACCAAGTGTCCCCAGGCCTGGCCCAGCCATGGCTCGGGAAAGCAGGGCAGGGCTTAAGGACAGGTCTGGGAGAGCAGGTGAAAAGAGAAAGGAGCTTGTGCTCTGACTTTGCTTCACTTCCACTGCCACAGCTTGGATGCAGGCTCTGGACCGAGGATATGGAAGCATCAGTCGCAGTGAGGACAGATCCACTGTGACGGCCCTGCCACATCGGCAGGGGTAGGGAAGGGCCGGGTGCAGGAGGACTGGCTGACTGACAGCGTCCCTACATTCCGGCCGGCACTGGCCTTCATGCCTGACCCAGCCTGATGGGTAGGGATTTGGCATGAGGGGTGGTGACACTTGAGGTCTGATGCTGAGCTTGGTGCACTTTGAGCTGAACATCAGTGTCTGCTCAGCCAGGAGCTGAGGAATGGCTTGGGCTCCAAAGCAGGGAAAGGAATTTGTAGGAAGCAACATTTTTAGGGGCTAAATAAAAATAAATAAATAAATAAAAGAGGGCCTGGCATGGTGGCATATGTCTAATCGCAGCACTCAGGAGGCTGAGGCAGGAGGGTCATTGCAAGTTCGAGACCAGCCTGGGCTACAAAGTGAGTTCAAGGCCAGCCTGAACTGCATAGAGAGACCATGTCTCAAAAAGATAAACAACAACAACAAAAAAGCATGGAGGGCTAGTGGTGTAGCTCAATGGTAAGATAATTGCTTAGTGTGTGTGAGGGCCTGGGTTTCATCTCCAGCACTGGAAAGGAAGGCAGGAAGGAAAGGAGGAAGGAAGGAAGGGAGGGAAGAAGGAAAGAAGGAAGGAAGGAAGAAAGGGAGGGAGGGAAGGAGGAAGGAAGGAAAGAAGGAAGGAAGGAAGGAAAGAAGGAAGGAAGGAAAGAGGGAGGGAAAAGAGTGAGCAGGGCTGTAATTCCAGCACTCTGGGAGGCTGAGACAGGAGGACTGCAAAAGGGCTGGGGATGCAGCTCAATGCAAAGACACTGGCTTCAATCATCAATAACACAAGAAAGAAAGAGCCGGGCGTGGTGGTGCACGCCTGTAATCCCAGCACTGGGGAGGCTCAGGCAGGAAGATTGCTGTGAGTTCAAAGCCAGCTTGGGCTACTTAGTGAGTTCATGGCCAGACTGGACTACAAAGTGATACCTGATACCCACTCTCAATAATGATGATGATTAGCTCAGGGGATGTAGCTCAGTGGTGCAGCATCTGCCGGCATGTATGAAATCCTGAATTCGATTCCCGGTACCCAAAAAAAAAAAGATGATGATGATGAAGAGGAGGAGAAGGAGTAAGGAAATAATGCTGCGTCCCAATGTCTGTGTCTGCCTGCAGAGCAGTGGATGGGTCAGAGAGATATCAATGTCCCCAAAGAACAGGTGGCGGGGGCTTCTTCCCCTAATTCAGTTCTCCTCCTGAGCCATGTCTCCTAGCAATCCGCACAAAATACAGGCTTGGAGGCCCATCAAGGGTGAGTGTCTCCTGCAGCTTACCTTGACCGGCTGCCAGAGGGCGATGGAGAGCAAAACCTGCCAGTGCACCCCCACCCTGTACCCCATCACCTGCTGTTTCAGGGTTCGTTGACTAAAGAGTTCTAGGAGATCAGTCCAACTTAAATCTCTCCCATGCAGTTTAAATCCGGTCCCAAACTCCACTAAACACAAACCAGTGCTCTGGGACCCTGAACCCTCTGAGCCCCGTGTTTACAGCACAGTTGGGCCGTTTGGGGGTACGGTACACAGGTTCGAGGTAAAGTGGGGTGGGCCTAAGGATGTGAACAGGTGCACAGGTCAGAGTGGGTGAAGCAAGGTGAGAGAAACAGAAGAAGCAAGACTCCTGGGTCGTGGCCAGCCGTGGTGGTGCACACCGGTGATCCCAGTGCTTGGGAGGCTGAGGCAGGAGGATCATCACAAAGTCAAAGCCAGCCCAAGAAAAATAAAAAGTTTCATTTTAAAGCTGACAACGTGACCTAATGATAGAGCACTTGCTTAGCATGGGTAAGACCACAGATTCAATCCCCACCACCCCAAGAGTAGGGTATAGAGTAGGTGAGAAAGAACTCAAGCAAAAAGATAAGGGGCGGGAGCCAGAGAGCAAGGACAAGGTGCTGCCTTTTCTTTTAAAACATAAGGAAGCGCTACCTGGGGGCCTTGGTCCTGCGGATGAGCCTGAGAACAGAAGAAAGATTTGAAGAGTGTCACAGAGTGGAGCATGGTCACATATCCCTGTTCCCCTCTAGCCTCTTGGAGCCTCGAGATGTGGACCCAGCGGCTCACACCTGTCCAGGTTCTACGTGCACACATGCATGGCTGGTATCCAGACCTTGCTTGAAAAACCCTTAATTTGTCATCTAGGACCTGCCCATGTGTACAAGGCCCCCCTCCTAAAATTTATTTATTTTGGGTTTTTTGACATAGGGTCCTACTATGTAGCCCAGGCTGGCCTCAAGCTCATAGGGACCCTCCTGCCTCAGCCTCCTGAGTGCTGGGGTGACAGGTGCCTGGCAAGCTCCCCTTTAGATTCTTTCTAGGCAGAGACTAAAGATAAGCATGGAGGGCTGGGGATTTAGCTCAGCAGCACAGTGCCTGCCTGGCAAGCACAAGGTCGTGAGTTCAATTCTGAGTACTGACAAGCGCAAGGTCGTGAGTTCAATTCCGGGTACCGGAAAAAAAAATCAAACATCAAAAAAAAAAAGATAAGCATGGAGCCTGCGGGACCTGCTGTGAGACCATGGCTTAGATCTTGAGCACTCTCAAAGCTGTCACACCGGCTCTCAGCCTCTGTGTCTGGGCGTGGGTCTATCCAGTGTCCCAGGGAAGGCAGAGATGGGAGATACTAAATAGCAGAAAAGGCTGGGCGTGGTGGCCCGTACTTGTAATCTCAGTACTCAGAGGCTGAGGCAGGAGGACCACCTTGATATCAAGCCCAACCTGGCCACATAGCGAGGGCCTATCTCCAAAAACCAAGAACACATGTAAAGGGCATCTTAGCCCCTCGTCACGCCCGCAGGTTTACCATGAATCCCGGGTGCTTCCTGGTAGATCACGAAGATGTCAGAACAAAGATGCCAATTCCCTCACAGGTACACAAGTACACGCGCGACGTGAGCACACACACGCACAGGTGTATGTGCGCCTCAGCTCAAAATGCCTCTCTCTGTACCCCCTAAAGTGTCCACAAGCCAACCTTCAGCCACCATCTCTCTGCCAGCCCCGGCTGCCCCCACCTACGCTGCCACCTGCGTAGCAGCTCCCCACCCACCCCCTCGGCCCAAAAGAGGCCCGGGCCAGACAGGGCAGCACCTGGAACAGGTTGATGCTGTTCTCCCGGAAGTGGAGGGGGCGGGGTGGGGTCACAGGGGTGGGCGGGGTCCCTGAAGGCGACATCTCTCTCTCTACAGAGGCATAAAGCTGCCCAGCCTGGCAAAGGACGGTCATTCTGTCAACCTGCAGACAGCAAGCCGGGGCCCTCACTCCACACCCAGGTGCCAGACAGGACCCAGCATCACTCCCTGGTAAGGACTATGACAGCCCATGAGGCAGGTGGCATTCAGGGGACCTAGGGAGACAGGCTGAAGAGTAGAGGGCTTCCTAGAATCCAGCAGGCAGGTATCCTGGGGGACGCTGGGGAGCCCCATCCTGGCTTCCCAGGAATGGAGGCAACAAAGCACTTGGGAGCTGGGAGAGCGGGCACGCATCTGTGTCCCTGCCTCCCGAGTCTGCCTCCACGGGCGCCAGAGGTACAGTGAGGCACTTCCAGGCCAGCTGCTGTGTCATCTTCCACCCACGGGGTAATCTGGGTGCGCCCCAGCCACCCACCGGGAGCACCTAGGCTTCAACTTCGGAGACAGATCTCGGGTGGTGACCCTCAGCTCCCGGAGAGCACAGAGCCCCCTGACCACAGCCGTTTCACGGCTGCCTTCATCCACTCAGTCCTGTCTGAGCTTATTTGCCAAGCTCACCTGTTTGGGGCACCATGCTTGGTGCTGTGGGTGCAGAGGTGACTCAGCTCCGTTTCCTGCCCTCAGGGAAGTCACAATGGAGTGGGCGAGAGTCAGGTGCACAGATCATAACGCAGGCGTCAGGCATTTCAGAAGGACTGTGGAGATACAGGTGGCATCCGGATGCCAGGAGGAGGGAAGGGAGGGGTCATCCGAGGTGGCCTGAATTGAGTTGGGTTTTTGTTTTTTCTGGTTTTTTGAGACAGGGTCTCGCTATGCAGTTCAGGCTGAACTTGAGCTCCCTTTGTAGCCCAGGCTGGTCTCAAACTCGCAATGATCCTCCTGCCTCAGCCTCCTGAGTGCTGGGATTACCGGCCTATGCAGCCAAACCCAGCTTATATGAGTTTTTGAGCCCAAATTTCATCATAAAATGAAGATTCCCAGCAGCCACCTTGACAGTCTCCATCTCCCGCCCCACAGTGACAATGACCATGTTCGAAAACGTCACCCGGGCCCTGGCCAGACAGCTGAACCCTCGAGGGGACCTGACGGCCCTGGACAGCCTCATCGACTTCCAGCGCTTCCACCCGTTCTGCCTGGTGCTGAGGAAGAGGAAGAGCACGCTGTTCTGGGGGGCGCGCTACGTGCGCACCGACTACACCCTCCTGGATGTGCTCGAGCCGGGCAGCTCGCCCGCGGGTCAGCCTGCGTGGGGGCCGGGTTTGGGGCCGGGCGTCATACGGCCCAATGCTGCCAGTAGGGGCTGAGCAGTGAGGGGACCAGAGACCCCTGTGGGTCCAGCCGCTCCAACCTCTCCCTCCTGCAGACCCGACAGACGCAGGCAGCTTCAGCTTTAAGAACATGCTGGACGCGCGCGTGGAAGGAGAGGTGGACGTGCCCAGGACAGTGAAAGTCAAGGGCACCGCCGGGCTGTCTCAGAACAGCACGCTGGAGGTCCAGACCCTCAGCGTGGCCCCCAAGGCCCTGGAGTCCCTGCACAAGGAGAGGTGAGAGCAGCGGGGTGAACTCAACACTGAGACCCTGTCTCAAAAAAAAAAAAAAAATCAACGGGGACAGACCCAGCCGATGCCAGGGAGAGGGTGAAGGCTTTGTCGAAGATGACTCTAAGTTCTGGCCCAGATTGTGACACAGGTGACGTGTGGAAGGTGGCATGTGGCAGGTGGCACACAGGAAGCAGAGGTGACCTGCGGGGAAAGACTGTGAGCTCCTCTGGATTCGGGAGTTTACGGCTCTGCTCTGGGGTCCGCTGGGGACGTTCAAGGTGGCCAGAAATCGGGGCAGAGCCCTAGGGAGAAGCTGAGGTGGAAACATGGGTGCCAGGCGGCGGTCACCAAGAAGGGAAAATCGGTCGGAACTGGGGGGAGCTCCACAGGGGGCTCAGAGAGCAGAGGGGTGTCAACAGAACCGCAGGGAACGTTTTAGGGAAGCGGATAAACTTGCAAAGGGGAGGCAGACGCATGGGGAGGATGCAGGAGGCAGAGGCACAGGTGGAGGACCAGGCGCCGAGGGGGTTGGAGGGCCGCCCGCCTGGGTGGTGACAGGTCACGGGGATCTGGGCTGAGGAGTGGAAACCTTGAAGCTGAATCATCAGGCAGTCAGGTGGGCCGTGAGGGTGAGAGTGTTGTGGGGTTATCTTTTGCCATATTTGTCAATAAGGGGAAGGAAAGAAATGACAGTAACATGAAGTGGATGAGACTTGGTCAGGGTCGGGGACGTGCTCATCTTGGGAGCAGAGAGGGGCCGGTGTTGAGGGACTGGGCAGGGGAGAGTGAGAGGCAGAGAAAACCCCAGAAGAGACAGACGGACTTGGAGACAGACGTGGGGACGACGGAGGAGAGGCGAGAAGGAAGCAACCAGGATGCCCGAGCTGGCCAGGGGCAGCGCCGGCGATGAGCTGTGTGTCTCAGCGCCCCGGAGGGAGGTGTCATTGCCCTGCTTTGTACATGTGGCAATTCACAAGCCGCCCCACCAGGGAGCCCGGCTCCTGGGAGTGAGGGCCTGAGAGCAGAGGGCTTGGGGGGGGTCGGTGCCTGGACAGCCCCCCTGCGGCTCCCTCCCAGGAAGCTGGCCGAGGACCACCCGTTCCTGAAGGAGATGCGTGAGCGCGGCGAGAACCTGTACGTGGTGATGGAGGTGGTGGAGACGGTGCAGGAGGTCACTCTAGAGAGGGCTGGCAAGGCCGAGGGCTGCTTCTCCCTTCCGTTCTTCGCCCCACTGGGGCTGCAGGTTCGCACACGAGTGTTCCCTCTCCGCACCCCCAAGCTAAAGCAGAGAGCCTCTTGCTTGCTCAGTTCTCAGGCTCAGCAACAAGATGTCCAGGTCAAAGCCCAGGCAACCCAGGCTCAGAAATTGCCTAATAAGGGTTTCCCACCCCTGCCGGGGGAGGGATGCTTTGGCATTCAGAGCCAGCAGAGGGTTTAGTCATGGAGGGCTTCCTGGAGGAGGTGAGCCGGGACAGATGGCAAAGAGGAAGAAGAAGGAGCTAGGGCTGGCACGGAAGCTTGGGAGTGGGGCAGGGTGGCACAGGCAGGCGAGGAGGAGCAGGTCCGCCCAGTTCCCTTCACGTGTCCGAGGCAGGAAGACCCAGTTGCTTGCAGGATGTCCCTGGAGAAGAGTGGCAGGGCCTGAGGCCTAGCCCAGCAAGTCTGGGCAGGCAGAAAGATGATCAAGGGTTCCCAACTTCCTGCCTCCCCAAAGACTCTCAGGCCTGGCCCTTCCCCGGCCCCCGTGTCTCATATGGGGTCTCTGCAGAGTCACAAATCCTCGGCATCTCGCCCTAGGGCTCCGTCAACCACAAGGAGGCTGTCACCCTCCCCAAGGGCTGCGTCCTGGCCTTCCGCGTGAGGCAGCTGATGGTCAATGGCAGAGATGAGTGGGGTGAGAGAGACCGCTGTGCTCCCCACTATGGGGGTGATCGCTCCTGGGCTGAGGCACCCTCTTGGCACTGTCGGGGAACAAGGACAAGACTGCACTGAGTCGTCCCACGCAGGGACAGAGGGGCTCCCAGCTGCTGGGCACCTGTGGGGGAGGGGCGGGGGGGCCCGGGGGAGGTGCGAAACCCATGGAGGGAACAGGCGTTATCACTAGGCCTGGGGTTCTGAGGAGAGCAGGGACTTAGACAGGACCCCAAGAATCTGGGGCCGTGCCAAGTCGGGCTCCTGGTCTCCCCATCTTGCAGACATTCCACACCTCTGCAACGACGGCATGCAGACCTTCCCCCCTGGAGGTAAGAGAAGTCCTCACCGCCCCACTCCAGGCCATCTGCTAAACCCCGCCTGCTACAGCAGGGTCTGCAGGCCCCCCACAAGCACCCCCCACTTTTGTTTCCTAAGTCCCTAAGAACATCTGTCCTCAACTTTAGGACAGACAGAGGTGTAGAAACCCTGCCCGTGAGAGACAGAGAAAGAGAAAGACAGGGACAAGCAGACGCAGAAAGAAGACAAGGTGACAGTGCACGTCCCCACCCTGTGGGGCTGGCCGCTTTTATGATGGTCACCCGTGAAGCTGCCTTGGTCAGAAGGGCAGAAACGACCGGGCGCGGTGGCACGGGGGCACGTTATCTCAGCACTCCGGAGGCTGGGTGGGACAAGGCCAGTGATTTCGAGACCAGCCTGAGCTACATAGTAAGACCCTGTCTCAAAAAAACAAAACAAAAGGAAAAGAAAGTGAGCAGAAGTCAGTTTGAAGCTGACGGATGTGCGTTGTTTCTGTCCTCAGAAAAGCCAGGAGAAGAGAAGTTCACGCGTAAGTGTCTCCTGCCTTCCGCTACAACTTTCTTGGCTCTGGTTTAAAACGCCGATCCTCTGTGTGGGACAGACAGGGGAGGTGGCAAAGCAGGTCTCAGCGGACAACTGCCCCCTACATGTGGCAGGACTTCCACGGCTTAGGACAAAGCAGCCAAGTCGGAGACCTGGGCACAGGATGTCCAGGTGGTCTGATGCCTCAGATCTTTGTCCCCAGGGGCTGTGGGAGCTGTCACCTGTGCCACACTTGTCCGCTGCTCTGCCCCCCAGCATCTGGGGTGGGAGGCAGCGAGTCCTGGCGACATCAACTCACTCTGGTGCCCCTTTCCCATCCAATTAGCTCTTACCTCCCTTCATTGCTGCCTCCCGGGTGTGAGGCTGGGACCTGTCGTGTCCCCGCCACCTTGCAGGACAGCGTTCTTATGGTTTCTTCTTTCTTATTTTCCCAGTTATCCAAGCGTCTGATGTTGGTAAGGAATTTTATGAGTTTCTGCTAAGACTTGGGCACAAAAGTGGCAGGAGGCGGAGGAGGGTGGAGAGAAGGGACAGGAAGGTCCTGGGGATTGGCGTCACTTCCACGGAGCCACAAAGGGTGATGGATCTCTAGGGTGCCACTTCCATAGAGGGCCAGCTGCAGGCCACGCTGGCCTGCTCTCGGGAGCAGCCCCTTGCTGGCTTTCTTCAAACAGTCACTGCAGTCATTCTTCTTTGTCAGCTGACTCAGGAGGAAGGGACGGAGATCTTTCCTCTCAACCTGTAGCTGGAGTCTTTGACACCAAAGCCAGGCGGGGTGGTGCATGCCTGTAATCCAGTGTGCAGGAGGCTGAGGCAGGAGGATTGTAGGGAGTTTGAGGGCACATAGTGGGGTCCTATCTCACAAAAAACCAAAAACAACAGAGAAAAGCCCAGGCTCAAACTGGGCAGGGCACAGGGCCCTGAGGAGGCTGAGTGGAGGAGGCTGAGGGTGAAGGGCTGGCTGCCACATCTCCTGTCCCCACAGGGGAGGTGCATGAGGACTTCAAGACCCTGAAAGAGGAGGTCCAGAGAGAGACCCAAGAGGTGGACAAGCTGAGCCGGGTGGGCCAGGGCTCCCTGCTCAGCTCCCTCCGCAACCTTCTGGGCAAGAAGAAGGAGCTGCAGGACCTTGAGCTTGCAGTGAGTTCCCAAGTCCCTGCAGGAAGTGGGAGGTAGGGGACAAGGGGCCCTGCTGGCAGTGAGGGGTGGGAGCTGGTGGCCAGGAGAGCCGATAGTGGACACCTGCCCCAAAGCTGGCCCCCACTGCCCCTGTGGCCCAGCAAAGGGCACACAGAACAGGTTCCCCAAGGTGCCTGCTCCCTCTCATGGGCAGAGGCTGGGCAGCCCGCCAGAAGGGGCCTCTGTCAGAAAGGACCTAGAGCCTTTCCAGAGTCCAGAACCCAGGGACAAAGGAACCCAGGAGCCCAAAACTTTCAGGACTTGATACTGCAAAAGAAAGAGGCCAGGTGTGGTGGCACACACCTGTCATCTCAGGGCCCAGGAGGCTGAGGCAGGAGGATCACTGCAAGTTCAAGGCCAGCCTGAGCTACATAGTAAGTTCAAGGCCAGCCGGAACTAACTGTGAGACCGTGTCTCAAAAATAAATAAAAGTAAAAGAGTGAAATGGGACGGAGTTGCCACGTGTTCAGGAGCTCGTAAGTACCAGGGCCATATTGTACCCTTTACCCATGGCATTTTAAATACCCACCTTTTCCCCACAGCTTGAAGGGGCTCTAGACAAGGGACATGAAGTGACCCTGGAGGCACTCCCAAAAGATGTCCCACTGTCCAAGGAGTCCATGGGCGCCATCCTCTATTTCCTTGGAGCCCTAACAGGTCAGTGAGGAGTAGGGTCTTTACTTCTCCGGTGACAGGGATGAATTCCTGAGTGAACTCCCGGGTGAATGAGTGGGTAGATGCCAGATAAATTCTACTACGGCGCAGAAGTTATATTAAAACCGAGGTGTTGGTGCACACCTGTCATCACAGCACTCAGGAGGCTGAGGCAGGAGGATCACTATGGGTTCGAGGCCAGTCTGGGCTACACAGTAGGTTCAAGGCCAGCCTGAACTACATAGCGAGGCCCTGTCTCAAAACACAAACAAAAAAATTAAAAATAAAATCGGGGCTACTCCTCATGAGGATTCGCTTAGTCACGCTGGTGATCTGAGAAGCCAACCTTTCTAAGCGGTTGGGAAAGAACCCTTGAAATGTTGCCCCGTCTTTTAATGCTTTTGCACCCAGCTAGCCTTGTCCTCTCCGCGTGGACCCGCCTCTTAGCTCTGACAGCACAGGGTGGCAACTGCTCTTGTCCCTGCATCCTCTGCCTCCCTCTGTCTACATGGACCCGCCCCCCACTTAGAAAATCTCCGCAGTCCTTGAGTATGTGAAGGTGTCCATTCTCCTGCGCGGGCTGCGCTCGAGGGCCAGGACCGCAGTGCACCCTCAGCTTTAGCTGGTTCACATCTCAGGATGTGATTCCGCACCGCTTTCTCTTCTCCCAAGACTTCAAGTTCCGTCAGTGAGGAGAACACAGGTTTCACCCAACGCTCGGCCAAGGGGCCCGGCGCAGAGCAGGCCATCAGCCATGTGTGAACGGATGAACGAAGGAACTGACGAGTGACGGGACGAGCAGGCTGACGGGGCAGCGCGTGCTGGGGCTCTAGGAGTACACTGCTTGGGGTCTGGAGCCACCTGTGCACTGCGACACCCATGTCTTTCTCTGCTTTTTCTCCAGTGCTAAGCGAAGCCCAACAGAAGCTTCTGGTAAAATCCATGGAGAAGAAGATCCTCCCGGTGCAGCTGAAGCTGGTGAGAAAAAACAGCAGACGCCAGGGAGAGCTGGGGGGGAGCAGCGAGGGCCGTGGGAAGATGCCCATGTGGATGTGGCCTGGGGGCCGATGTCCCAGAGGGCCTCTGCCCCATCTCGGAGCTCAGGTCCCCTCTCTTTTCTGTCCGTATTTCTTCCTTTGCATTATTTTATCACAGGGGGCAGAAGGGTGGATTTCTGGCCATGATGTGGGTTTATCACCCTGCTCTTGGGAGACAAGACAGAAGACTCTGGCTTTGGTAGTCGCTAACGTCTCTGAGTCTGCCTCGATTTGCTCCTCTGTAAAATAAGGTTAAAAATAAATGTGCTGGGGCTGGGGATTTAGCTCAGTGCCTGGCACCAAATAAGTAATTGTACTCACCTGTCATCCCAGCACTCAGGAAGCTGAGGCAGGAAGATCACTGCAAGTTCAAGGCCAGCTTGGGCTACATAGAGAATTCAAGCCCAGCCTGGACTGTGTAGCAAGACTATCATGATAGAGGATAGACAGATAGATAGATAGACAGACAGACAGATAGGCAGATAGTAGATGCCTAATGGCTCCCTCTGTAGGGCTGCTGAAAGGCCCAGATGACATGAAGTAAGGAGTTGCCATGAGGAGGTTGTAGCCTGCTTTGTGATCTACATCAGGCGGAGAGAAGAGTGCTTCCGGTTCTCTCTTCATGCTCTCTCGGCTCCCTGCAGGTGGAAAGCACGCTGGAGCAGAATTTCCTGCAGGAGAAGGAGGGTGTTTTCCCCCTGCGCCCCGAGCTGCTCTCCTCGCTGGGGGATGAAGAACTGACCCTCACGGAAGCCCTCGTGGGGCTCAGCGGGCTGGAGGTGCAGAGAGGTGGTCCCCAGTACACGTGGGACCCGGACACGCTGCCCCGACTCTGCGCCCTGTATGCCGGCCTCTCCCTCCTTCAGCTCCTGGCCCGGTCCCCCTAGCGTCCCTTTTCTGGCTGCTTCCGGCTTCCAGAGCCAGGACCTTAACGTCCCAGGGCGTTTTAGAGCCACCGGGTTGAAGACCCCAACATCCCAGCTGGTCACCCACAATAACCAACCTCCACTCCCCTATCCTCCTGCTCCTGCCCCTCCTGCTCCACTCCCCTATCCTCCTGCTCCTGCCCCTCCTGCTCCACTCCCCTATCCTCCTGCTCCCGCCCTGAGCCTCCCAACCCCCTAAGCCCATGGGCCGATATTAAATCCTGTAGAAGCACTCAGCCTTTATAAATTGTGAGCTCTTTCAGCAAAACTGGAGAAAAAAAAAAAGACAAATTTCTTTCCTATCCTAATCCTCCCCACTTGTACTTCTAAAAAACAAGCATTAGCGGCATTAATGGAAAACATTATGTCAATCTTAGGATGACATGGCTTCGGGTGTATTTCTTCAAACAATTTATCATATGGAAATTCTTACTTGGGCCAGAAAAAGAAAGAAACACTCTCTTAGTACCTGTAGATCATCTGAACAGGCTACCTATACCGTCCTCAGACCAGCTGGGAAATGCTCAGGATCTGCTACTGGGCATGGGATGTGCAGTCCAGGTTCTAAAGTGGGAAGATCATCAAAGCTGCTGTCTTCAAAGAGCCTCAGGCGTCCTCCAGCCCCAGGCTGAAGGCTTGGGGCGGGAAAGATCTAGACAGAAATGCTGGGTACAGTCAAAACAAGAGGAAGAGTACTTTCAAGTGTGGGTAGAAAATGCAGACGAGTCTTTTTAAAAAGTGGGATCAAAGAATAAGATGAACTCCAGACTTTCTTTTTTGAGACAGGGTCTCATTAATGCAGCTCAAGCTGCCCTTGATCTCACTATGTACATAGCCCAGGCTTTCCTCAGACTCACAGCAATCCTCCTGCCTCAGCCACCGAGTGCTGAGATTACAAGCATTTGCCACCAGGCCTGGCTCCAAATCTGTTGGTTTTTTTTTTAATTATAATATTCTCTTCTTTCATTTCTCTGTCTTCTACCCTCAATTCAGGAAGATGATAGGAAAACGTAGCGTGGGTTACTCGGCCTGCGAACCTGCTAAAACGTGTGCTGCGCATCTCATCGGAGGTCTGGGTTTATAGCACATTCCTCTGCCCTGAGCTCGGTCTGAACATCTTTCACCAACTTCTTTTAAAGTGGTTTTATAGATGGAAAGTTTCCCCAGAGATTTTGGCTCCGGGTTGCAGCCTCTTCCCAGTACCGAGGCACCCCCGGCCCGTGCTAGCACGCCCCGTGACCCACTGCCAAAGGCTTCGGCTAAGTCAGCCTCCCCCAGCCTGGGCACCTTCCAAAGCCTCAGTGCATTGCTCACAGATTGCTGGGCTGCCCTGCTGACTCGTTCGTTTGCCCCTCTGATGTAAACTTAATAGACAGATGAGCTAACACCCTAACCATGCGGACCGGCGACTCCTTCCATTGTGAGGTCTGAACAACAAAGCTCATCTCTCCTGCCTCTACCACCCATCCTCACCTTCGGCTGCAGACAAGGCTTGCGGAGAAGATACTTGAAGTTTATTCCCGGAATGAGTCAACGGCCTGTTAGCCACCCACCCTGGGTGGGTGAGAGGACAGTTAGGGAGGATTTGGTCAAGGTGTGTTCCCCAAAACAGCATGTTTTGCCATTTGGCAAGCAGCTGTTTAATGTAGTGAATTGTTTGCTGCAAGAGTACAAAAAAGAAGGATATAAAGACACATAGAATAGCATGTACATACATAGGGCTGGGGAGATAGTTCAGTGGTACAAACGCCTGCCTAGCAAGCACAAGGTCCTGAGTTCAATTCCCAGTGCCAAAAAAAAAACCAAGAATAGCTTGTACATGTATAAAATATATATATCTATCTATATATAGATATATATATGAGAATGTATAAAAACGTATTTTCTGCTCCTTACAATAGGGCATGACTGTCCCTCCCAGGTCTAAATCTGAGGATTCCCATTTATGGAGGGTATCAAACTTCCAAGACAGAGTGAATTTTTTGTTTTGTATTTTAAGAAACTTTATCTGCCCTGCAGAATCACTGGTAAGTCGCTTTTTTTTTTTTTTTTTTTTTGGCACTGAGGACTGAGCCCAGGGCCTTCCCAGTCATTAATCTTTTTTGAGACATGATTGTGCCAAGTTGACCGGGTTGGACTCAAACTTGCAATCCTCCTGCCTCAGCCTCCCAGGCTGCTGTGACAGGCACCGTGTTCCAATGACTGGCTTAAGGAAGTCCTTTGAAAACAGCTGGCAGCGTTTCTGGTCCAATTTCCTGCCCCTTATGTAAACTAGGAGGTAACATTACATTGCTTCCCATCCAGCTGCCGGTCTGGATGCGTAAGGTTCCCCCAGCGGGCAGGAGCCCAGCGGTCTTGGCCAGTGGGGGCTCCCCTGCTATCTCCTCTGCCCTCCCACCACACAGCAGCCCTGAGTCCAAATGAGTTACGTGGCATCTCTACCTTCGCCGAGTGCTAGCTATCCCTGGACTGTAGAACCCCTGTGTTTGTTTATTTTTTTTTTTAATTTTTTTTTTTTTTTGGTACTGGGAATGGAAGTCAAGACTTTGAGTTTGCCAGGCAGACACTGTGCCGCTGAGCGATATCCCCAGCCCTTTTATTTTTTTGAGACAGGGTCTCACTCTGTAGCCCAGGCTGGCCTTGAACTCGTGGCACGCCTCCTGCCTCAGCCTCCTGAGCGCTGGGATTACAGACCTATGCCACCACACTCAGCCAGTACCCCTTTACTTACTTTATTTTAGTTCGGTTTTTTGAGACAGAGTCACTCCATGTAGTCCAAGCTGGCCTTGAACTCACTATGTAGCCCAGACTGGACTCAAACTCAGAGCAATCCTCCTGCCTCAGCCTCCCCAGTACTGGGATGACAGGTGTGCGCCGCCATGGCCGGCCCGTTTTCATTAAACTGCCGTGATTGTACACAAACGTGGTCTTCCCCATCCACGTTCCCAGCACGGAGAGATAGTATGCCTTAATCGCAGCGCTGAATTAAAATCTAACAACTTTGAAAGTCCGAATGGATACCACGGTGTTCGTCACACTTTCCAGTTCCCTTTATTTTAAACTCAACGACCTGGCTCCACGTCCCTCCTCCTCAGTCCTTTCTTCCCTAGCGCTGGGTGCATCACGCAGCTGTTAAGCGCTAGCCAGGTGGGTCTCAAGGGGACCCAGCCGGGGGCACATTAGGTAAACCTGGGCGCAAAAGCTGCCCGGCAATTCGTGACGTCAACTCTCCCCGCGCTCGTATAGGTCCTACCCACTCCAAACTCTTTGGGGTGCTGTTCGAGTCCAGCGTAGCCCAGGTTGGAGCCTGAAGAGACCTCTCGTGGACATTCACAGAAGTGTACCCAAGAGAAAAATAGAAGGAAAGCGCCACACTTTAAGTGTTTCAAAAGAAAGCCCCACTTGCGCATACAGACTCCTCCCAGCTTGAAGATCCGCCCCCATCCTGCACCTCGTCTGTAGATTTCTTTCCCCTTCCTGACTCGGCCGGCGGCTCGTCGGGCCTGGTGTTTCCCAGCAGGCTCCGCGCTGGGAAGGCGTTTGCAGCTGCTCCGTCATCCCGTGGCCCGCTGCGATCCCGCGCTCGTGTGCAGGCCCGGCTCGGTTTCTGGTCCCCGGTACGAGACTTCACGCGAGGCCCCGGGCTCGGTCCGCGGACTAGGCCGCGACTCCGGGCACCATGAAGCAGGAGGGCTCGGCGCGGCGCCGCGGCGCGGACAAGGCGAAGCCGCCGCCGGGCGGAGGGGAGCCCGAACCGCCCCCGCCCCCGGCCCCCCAGGACGTGGAGATGAAGGAGGAGACGGCGGCCGGCAGCGGGGCCCCCGGGGAGGCCGACGGGAAGGCGGCGGCCACGGCCGAGCACTCGCAGCGGGAGCTGGACACCGTCACCTTGGAGGGTACGGGAGCTCGGGGCAGAAGCGCGCCACGATCGCGGGTGACAGCGACGCCGGGGGTGCGGCTTCTCCCGGGATCGCAGCGCGGCCGCCCCGACCCCAGCCCCGTGACGGAAGCCGGCCTCCGCCCGCCCTGCTGGGGTGGGACCTTGGGCTCGCTGGGCGCGGGCGCTCGCCGAGTCCTGCCTTCCGACCGCTGCCCGCGCCCGCGCCCGCACCCGCACCCGCACCCGGCGGGTTCGAGCCTCTGGCTCTGCTCCTAGGTGCCAGTTGCGTGCCCTGCTCCTCTTGCTCCCCTTAGTTTTACTTTTCCCACGCCGAGCAGGCTTCCGCATGTGCAGTGGGCAGAGTGAGCTTGCGCTGTGAGCCTGGTGCTGCGTTCTGGGTTCTCGATCAGTGGGACCAGACTGCTTAACTGGGTTTTCTCTGAACTGTGCGAGAAGCCACCTCAAAACACTGAGATAAGCAAAGTTCTGCTCCTGGGTGGAGCTTTTGAGGACGTGATAGCATTGGCCGCAGAGCTGTTACTTTAAAGTTGGACAACAGGAGCAATAATAAGGTCCTATTACCTAAAATAATGTGATAGTAGCAGAGGTGCATTATCGTGTGTGTGTGTCTGTGTCTGGGTCCGTACATACACACATTCCCCACCACAGCTATACTTCCCCTTGTCTCTTGGCTGTATCTAAAAACCAGTGTACAGAATCCATAAATACCACTGAATGTGATTGTATATTGTTTCCCTCGTGTGTAGCCCGGGCTGGTCTCAAACTTGGCTGATCTCCTGCCTCAGCCTCCCCAGTGCTGGGATTACACACCTGCGCCACTGCATCCAGCAATAAGTGTGTTCCTGAGAACCGCTGGCCAGAAGTAGTGAGGAACTAGGAGTAGGGAGTAACGGTGTCTTTTCTTCTTGGTCCTGCAGACATCAAGGAGCATGTGAAACAGCTGGAGAAAGCTGTTTCTGGCAAGGAGCCGAGATTTGTGCTTCGGGCCCTGCGGATGCTGCCTTCCACTTCACGCCGCCTCAACCACTATGTTCTCTATAAGGCTGTGCATGGCTTCTTCACCTCCAACAATGCCACCCGAGACTTCTTGCTGTCCTTCCTCGAAGAGGTGAGTGGGTCAGGCTGACACCCCCGGGACAGATTGGATTTGTCCCAAAGACCTATCCGCTCTCTGCTGTAGCATGAGTAGAGATACCTGATCAGTCTGTTCTTTCTTTTTTGTTGTGGTTTCATCTGTTGGTTTTGTTTTTTTTTAAGACAGGGTCTTGATACATAGTACAGACTGGCCTTGAACTCACTATGTAGCCCAAACTGGCCTTGAACTCTCAGTGATCCTCCTGCCTTGGCCTCCTGCCTCCCTGCCAAGTGCTGGGATGACAGGCATGGACCACCAGGCCCACCCCTAACAAACCATTCTAACACCTGGCCGGTAGCAAGGGGACCAGACTTCCCTATAGTGTTGCTCTTGCAAGCCAGGGAGTCATCCCCTTGGCCAAGCTCATTTCCCTGTAGCCCCGCCTCCAGCCCTGTCCTCCAGTTGTCTAACATCGCAGTTATCCTAGGAGGAAGCTTTACTGTGTACAAGGATAAAATGGGTTAAGAGTGTAGGTTTTGCAGCTAGAGTTAAACTTGAATCCAAACCCTATCAGGGAGTTCCTGTAGGGCCTGGGGAGTGAGTTAACATCCTTTGCCTCGTTTTACTCCTTCATGGGGTGTGATGAATAGATTGCAGGTGGGAGGAAAGTGCTGAACTCCTAGAACAGCTCCTGACTAGCAGGCCCAGCGGAGTGGGTTGGATGGCGGAGTGCCCCTGTCCCGGGACAAACTCATTCTCCTCTGGAGGTGTGAAAGCCCCCATGCACCGCGCATCCCAGATTTCCATCTTCCTACCCTTCCTTCCTACCCTTCCTTCCACTTCAGCCCTATCCCGTGCACTCGAAGAGTGTGGGAAAACTTGGGAAATCCCCGGAGGCCAGACTGTGAAGAGTTGCTTCCTGGGAAAGGAAAAGTGCACCCTCCAACCTGCCCGGGATGGTTTCTACCTGTCACATCCCTACGTTCACCTAACGTGATTTTTTCTTCTGGGCTGACCTAACACAGTGTTTGTCTCAGGTTAAAAATAGGTTAATGTATGTGTCACTCTCTTCAGACTTTCTTACACACTTCCTTTCGCGCTTCCTTACTTCCATACACAGAAATTTTTCTCTGTCTCATTCTTGATTGATTAAACTTTGTCTGAGAATATTTACAGTGGTTCCAAATGTGGTGGTCTTAGCCAGGCGTGGTGGCACACCCCTGCAATTCTAGGACTTGGAAAGCCGAAGCAGGAGGATCTCTGTGAGTTTGAGGCCAGTCCAAACTATGTAACAAGACCCTGTCTCAAAAAAAAAAAAAAAAAAAGTGTAGTCGTTTAATCTTGACTTAGGCTAAAGGCTTCTTGAGAATTTCTTTTTTTTATTTTTAAAAAATTTTTGTTATTTGAGACAAGATCTCACTATATATTCAGACTGGCCCTGAACTCAATGTAGCTCAGGCTGGCTGCCAACTTGTGGCAATCCTCCTGCCTCAGCCTCCTGAGCATTGAGATTGCAGGCCTATAACACCAAGCCTAGCTAAGGGTTTCTTATATCAGAAGAAACCTTGTATCTTATATCTTATTTATTATTAATCTTGTATCTTATTTCTTTTATGCTCCCAGGGTATTCTGCAAAGAGTCTGTGGCACTCCTTTAACCCTTTGTGTGTCTGCCTCGTTGCTGACCTCCTGGACTCCCTCAGGAGAGAGACTTACATTTTGTGTATCCCTAGTGCCTGGCAAAATCCCAGTACGCCAGAGCCCTGAGCAAATCTCAGCAAACACACGATGGGTGCTCAGTGTGTTCCTGGTTGACTGACCCTCCTCTGCCCTCTCGCAGCCCATGGACACAGAAGCCGACTTACAGTTCCGCCCCCGCACGGGAAAAGCCGCATCGGCCCCTCTGCTGCCGGAAGTGGAAGCCTATCTCCAGCTGCTCATGGTCATCTTCCTGATGAACAGCAAGCGCTACAAAGAGGTACCCAGGGGCCGGGGATTTAGCTCAGCGGCATAGTGCCTGCCTGGCAAGCGCAAGGTTGTAGGTTCGGTTCCCGGTACTGGGGGGGGGCTGGGGGGGCTGGGGGGGGAGGTACCCAAACGCCGGCATGGGGGGCTTTGGGGGAAGAAGGGGTGGGTCCGATGACAGACAGACCGGAGTGCCACATAGCAGCACCTCGGGCAGATGCGCCTCTCCTGCCCATGCAGGACGTGCAGATCGAGAGGCCCATCTTGCAGGACTGTCGGTCACTGCTGCTACGTAAAATAAGAAAACGAGGACAGCACGGTGCTCTCGTGGGACTTCAGTGAGGAACGGCTGCTTTTCTGGGGAGATGGGTTGAGCATCCCTAGACCAAGCCCCCCACATCCCGAACTTTGGAGCTCTGGCTCGAGCCACGTGGGAGGGAAGTTTCCGACCTGGCTTGAGTGATAGGACCCCCTCACCCCTGGGCGGCTCAAAGGACCGCACTGAGTGACCTCAGGCCGAGTGGGTAGGCAGCGTGTGTGAAACTAAGTGAATTTCAGGTTCAGATCTGAGCCTTTGTTGTGTATATGTCAATACCCCAGATTTGAAAAAGAGATCCTACATCTGAGCGCTTCTGGTCCCGAGTGTTTCCAGAAAGAAATAGTCAGCCTGTCCACACTGGGGCAGCTCTGTCGTCACCCTGACGTGAGGGTGGCCGTCGTGACAGCTGCCATGCCTCCCTCCCTGTTTTATTTGCCTGTTTTGAGATAAAATTTCACCCCTTTGAGGTGTCTAGTCTGGAGGTTCTGCTGTTGTCACACGTTGCACAGCTGCCACTGCTCTTTGCAGGACATTGTCGTCACCCCAGAAAGAAAGTGCGGTATTAGCAGGCACTGCCTCTCACCCTCGCCCTGCCTGGCTCCCATTTCTCGTCTGTCTCGGGATCTGCCTGCTCCGATATTTGTTCGGATATTTCCTGGTAGTGGAGTCACAGCTATACCCCCTGGTGTCAGGCTCCATTCTCTTAGCAAGCATAAGGGTTTTTCTTTCTTTCTTTCTTTCTTTCTTTCTTTCTTTCTTTCTTTCTTTCTTAAATTTTGAGATGTAGCCGGGCGTGGTGACGTGGTGCTGTAATCCCAGCTGAGGCAGGAGGATGGTTTTGAGTTTGAGGGCAGCCTGGGCTACAAAGTGAGCTCAAGGCCAGCCGGAACTGCATACTGAGACCTCGTCTCAACCAGTCAATCAAGCGATAAATGCATACGTACGTGCGTACATACATACGTAATACATTTTGAGATGTCTCCTGAAGTCACCGAGTTGCCCATGCTGGGCTTGAACTTTTGATCCTCCTGCCTCTACCTCCCAGAGTGCTGGGATGGCAGGTGTGCACCACTGTGCGTAAAGATTGTTCCATGCCGTGGCAGGTGTCAGTCAGAACTTCCTTTTTGTGGCTGAAGAACCCTCCAGTGTATGGAGGCACCACCTCGGCTTGCCCATTTTTCAGCCACCAAGCGTTGTGCCACGTTGGGGCTGTTAGAACACGTGTGTGCAGGCTTTGGTGTGAGCGCATTTCCAGTCCTGGCTGGCTGTCGGGAAGCACCACGCCGGTAACCCTCGGAGTTACTGCCCCTTGCTTCTCGTTGGCTCTCTCCCAGGCACAGAAAATCTCCGATGACTTGATGCAAAGGATCAGTACTCAGAACCGCCGGGCCCTGGACCTCGTGGCCGCCAAGTGTTACTACTACCACGCCCGGGTCTACGAGTTCCTGGACAAGCTGGACGTGGTGCGCAGGTGCGGGCGGGGCTCGGAGCTCGGCCCTGAGGGCTACAGGAGGCGCTGGCTGGTGGGAGGCAGGTCCCTGCGGGTACCAGGCCAAGCTACACGTCGGGCCCTCGGGGAAGAAGTGGAGAATACGCTGGCTGTTGGAAATGGTCTGGCTGTGCCCTGCACCCACCTCCAGGGAGGGCTGATTTAGGGGGCGGAAGACACGGCTGGGAACATCTTGCCCCTGCTCAAAACCTGCACTGGCTCCTTTTTTTTCCCTTTTTCTTTCTTTTGTTTTTTTTTTTTTTTGAGACATAGTCTCACTATGTAGTTCAGGCTGCCTTCAACTTGCTATGTAGCCCAGGCTGGCCTTGAATTTGTGGCGATCCTCCTGCCTCAGCCTCCCGAGTGCTGAGATCACAGGTGTGCACCACCACACCAGCTGCAGTGGCTCCATTTTCATAAGGAAAAGCCAGAGTCCTTCCCCTGCCTCCGCCTGCCACGCCTCATCATACCCTTGTCCCTGAGTCCCTCCAGAGCAGAGATTGTCCTTTTTTGTGCAGCTAGGATAGCACCCCAAAGCTGGGCATGATAGGAAACACCTGAAATCCCAGGTACTTGGGAGGCTGAGGCAGGAGTGTTGTAAGTTCAAGACCAGCCTAGGCAGCAAAATGAGACCCGTCTCAAAAAGAAGTAGTTCAGCACTTGACCAGTTGCCGGTCAGTGGCTGAATATTCGGTGCGTAGCCTGCAGAGCAGCCAGGGTCACTTTTTCAGGAGCCGAGGGAGTGCAGAGGCAGAGGCAGTTCTGAGCTGCGGCCCAGGCTCTTAACAGCTTTCTCTCCGCCTCTGAAGCTTCCTGCATGCGCGGCTGCGGACAGCCACTCTCCGGCACGACGCGGACGGGCAGGCCACGCTGCTGAACCTGCTGCTGCGGAACTACCTGCACTACAGCCTGTATGACCAGGCGGAGAAGCTGGTGTCCAAGTCTGTGTTCCCCGAGCAAGCCAACAACAACGAGTGGGCCAGGTACCTCTACTACACAGGTGAGCAGCGCCCCCAGGGCCTCGGGGGGAGAGGCGGGGCCGTTCCCCCGACACCGTCTTTTAGCTTCTTGGTTTCTGTTTTTGAGACAAGGTCTCACCATGTAGTGCCGCCTGGCCTTGAACTCACTATAGAGCTCAGACAGGCCTCAAATTGCTGGCACTCCTCCTGCCTAAGCCTAAGGCTGGGATTGCTGGCCTGCGCCCCCACGCCCAGCTTCCATGCAGGTTTTCTGAGGGTGGGTGTCTGGCAGTCTGGTTTTGCCAGACTCGGGTGACCCCGCTTTCCTGACACAGTGCTGTCCCCCCAGGGCGAATCAAAGCCATCCAGCTGGAGTACTCAGAGGCGCGGAGGACGATGACCAACGCGCTTCGCAAGGCCCCGCAGCACACGGCTGTGGGCTTCAAACAGACGGTGAGCACCCCCGCTCTGCTCCTTGCTGCTGCACTGCGTCCCCTCGGTCCAAGGCTGCGGGGTGCTGAGCCCTGCCTGCCCCGGCCGCCCTCCTGCAGCGCGCTCTCCGGGGAGGCCTGTGAAGACTCCTGAGTCCTGCTCCTTTGTCCGCCCCGCGCCCTTGTCCCCATCAGACCGGCACTGTGTCCTGGGAGGTCCTGGGAGGTCGGTCTGACTGTGGCCGGGGAACTTGGAAATTCCTGGGCGACAGGCGTGGGTGGGGCTGGAGCGTGGCCGGGCGGAGCTGTCACCCATCCGGAGCTGTTGGGCACTGGGCGAAACAGGAAAGGGGAAGCGGCATCTCTAGGGCAGAGATGGAGAATTTGGCCCAGAAAGAGTTCTGGGCCTGGTGACGTCCAGGGGCATTCAGGAGCCAAGGTTTGGACCTCGTGACCCCCCTGCTCCTCCGACCACAGCCTGGGGCTGCTCTGCGCTGGCTTCAGGTCCGAGTCTCCGAGACTCCTTTTATTTCTACTCGAAGGTCAGAGAGAGGCGGAGGAGGTTTGGTCAGATAATCAGAGGAATGATGGTCTTGCATTTGAGCTGGTTTTCGAAGGATGGGTAGGATTCTCACAGGAAGCGGCTCTGCAGACACGGGGCATGTGTGCAGACCGTTAGATCCTTGCAGTAGGAGTCACGCTAAAGTGTCTTTCAAAACTCAGTAAACTTACAGCTGGATCTGGTGGCGCACACCCTTAATCCCAGCACTCTGGGAGGCTGAGGCAGGAGGATCAAAAGTTCCAACCCCACCCGGCATGTGGTAGTGTGCCCTGGGTTTGATCTAGTACTGACAAAAAAAAGTTTACTTCTCCCAGTCCTGCAGGCCAGAAGCCCAGGGTGGTAGCGCCAGAGTACGTGAGGTACAGCGAGAGCCGGTGCCCGGGAGTGCACCGCCAGCGTCCGGCGCCCTCTCACAGCAGATGGCTCTTCAGCCACGCTGTGCCTCCGTTCTTCCTGAAAGGGGGCTGCTCTGCAGGGTTCGTGCTGTGTTGCTCTCGGCAGCTCCCCCATCTCCCAGTCCCCCTCGGACCCACGTTCGTCCTGGTCTGAGCGCAGTCCTGGCCTCCAGCCAGCTTCCGCATGGCCAGCCTCACCTACCTCAGTTCACCAGGCCTGCCCCAAAGTGTCATTCAGCAACAGGAGTGGGGTCGCAGCCCTAGGGGCGCAAGGTGACAGCATCCACGGGGCCGGCTGCTTTGGGGTTCACATGACACACACGCACCCCCAGGGGGCACCTTCCCTCTCTGGAGGTGCCAGTCTCGGTGGCCTACAGCCTGCCCTTCTGTGTCACTTTACCTTGGGCCCCTGACAGACGCCTTGTCTTTAGACGTGGTCACATGTTGGGACCCTGGGGGTTGTCCTGTTACAGAAAACAGACCAAACACATGAAGAAATGGCATAAAGGAGGTTTAGGAGGCGGTTTATTACACCAGTGGGCTTCTGACTAGGGTCTCTTCTAAAGAGCCAGAGCCCCACCCAGCAGGGTTCCAGAACTTTTAAAGGGAAAACAAGCCAGGAGGTACAAAGGCAGATTTGGCGCCTGCGATTGAAGGGTTGGGTGACGTCGTGGGTTGCTGAAGGAGTTTAAACATCCCAAGTTACATTGCAAGGCCATCAGTTACACAAAGGCCGTAAAAAGGAATATTCTGTTATCTGGCTTGCTCGGACATGTCTGCTAGGTTTTGGCAGGTATTGTTGAGCTTTCTAGACAGGTTTTTATTTAAAATTTTAATTTCCTTCCATTTTCCCCTCTGTTAGTCTATTGGGAAAATCATTTCAGAGATACTGATATTTAAGGCTGTACTGGGCATGCTGACGCACACCTGTAACCCCAGCACTCGGGAGGCTGAGGCAGAAGGATCATTGCGAGTTCAAGACCAGCCTGGGCTACCAAGTGAGCTCAGGGCCTATACTGAACTGCACAGTAAGACCTTGTCTCAAAAAATTAAAAAAGTAATTTTAAAAAAAATTTTTTAAAAAGGCTGTATAGGAGGTGCCCAACCTGACCAGTACTGCTTGTTTGCTTTGTAGTAAAGGGGATGAGCCAATTTAATAAGCGAGGTCCTGCAAGAGTATGAGAAGGGGGCCTTTTAGTGGTCCACCGAGCGCCCAGCCGTGGCTGTCCGTCTCCCTGGCAGCTCCACCAATAGGAGCCTGTTCGCGTGTCAGGCCCACTGGTGTATTCATTCTCACCACTGGTGGGCAGTCTCCCTAACACCAGACTTGCTAGCATGACAGCAGCAGGCTTCTGGAAACAGGCCGGTGCCTCCCTGTTGCCCAGTAAGGAGTCTAGAGCTCTGTGATTTTGGAGGAGCACTGCAGCTCAGGAATCAGTGTGGTCCTGCAACACGTCAAGCCCTCCCTGAGCAGCTGTAAAATCGCCCTCTCTTTGGGTACCCAACTGTAAGTGCTGTTGTTGGCCCACACCCAGGGCAGTGGCGCTGAGGGGTAGACTCCGCTATTGCTGTCCCAGCCCGAATTGGCAGTAGCACCAGGTCATGCTTTTGGCAAGATTGGTGGCCATGTGTGGGGCCCTGCTGACCTGAGTAAACAGAGAGGTCAGGCGCGAGGTGGGCCAGCACACAGAGACTCACTTTTGTGCCCCAAACGCCTGAGGGATGCCGTCAGAGCAGATGAAAAAGGTTCCACGCGGGGCCATCGGGGTGGCAGTCGGAGCATCTGTGCGCTCAGCTGAGGCATTTGGCCTTGTAAAGGCACAAGAGGCAGGCGGCCTCCCCACCTCCGTCGGGTGGGGCCCAGGGTGGAAGTAGGGTTACGGTGAGCGCCATCCGCGGTTCAGCCTGAAGCGCAGCGTGAAAAGGCGGGGGGTACACAGAGCAACAGTCATTTCCCAGTCTAGGGTCTGCTGCTTGGAGGGGCCGACGGGTGCTGTTGGCCAGGCGCAGTAGGTCTGCTGTGAGGGGCCCTGCTGGGACCCATTGGACTGAGGCGCCGGGGCCCCAAAGGGAGCAGCGGCAGCTTTGGCGTAGGGAGCTTGAGGTGGGGCGTGACAAAACCTTTGTAAAGATCGCTGTCGTTCCTGGGCCCTTTCCCACCATCAGTGCAAACTACTTTTTTTGGTACTGGGAATCGAACTCAGGACCTTGCACTTACCTGGCAGGCACTGTGCCGCTGAGCTACATCCCCAGCCCCTACCATCAGTTCAAACACCAATTTGATGACCTTTCAGCCAGTGTTCGTGAGTGGGGTCAGGGATTGTATAATTTACGGGATTGCAGGTTCCCTACTGGCAGTCTGGGTTGGAGGGGCTGGGTCAGAGGTACTTTATCCCTGGTAAAGGTGCCATACTCCAGGTAGTAAAGGTTTGGGCAGCCCCAGTGAGGACAGAAGTCGTTCGGGTCCCAACAGTAGCCCCAGTGGAAATGTTGAGCCAGCTGATCCCATCCAAGACAGACATAGGTGTTATCAGTCCGATAGTCATGTTCCCAGTCAGCCTCCGCAGTCCAAGGAAAAGGGGCTGGTTATGTCACCGCAGCCTGAGAGGGCTCGCATCGGGTTCGGCGAAGAATCTTCGTAGTGCGGCCAGTTGGCCTTGGAACTCCGGCGCCCTCAGTCTGTGTAGCAGGCGCGTGGGCCAGGCAGGCTAAGAAGGAGCAGGCTCAGGTCGGTAGTGGAGTCATCCTGACCCCAGGAGAGGCAGCTCAGAGTACACAGCCCTGCAGTTACCCCAGTGCAGAGGAGAATGAAAGTGCCCTTGGAGGGGACTTTCCAGTCCTCGGAGGACACTGCCCAAACCCTAGGGCGAACACTGAGATGAACAGGAGGAGCGGGACCAGAAACCAATCCGGGCAACGGACCATGAATCAATCAGGGCAGATGCTCTGGTGTACGCTGTCCGCCCGGCTTCAGCCATGCATAAATCTGCGTTTCCTGAGTGACGAGAGCAGGGCTGTGTGCACGTCATCTCCCCAGGTCTGCAGAGGAGTGGACTCGTCGGGGGAGGCTTTCTGGCAGTCGTCTGGATGAGCTTTCTTGATCTGAGAACGATGGATGCATGGCTGGGTCCCAGAAGGAAGATCTCAGAAAGGCTTCTGTAGGAGCCCCTCCAGGTGGATTGTAGGGGTTCCTTTATCCAGTCTTTTACCCGCAGTAGGTCTCTTGCGTTGAAAGTGTATGCGGGGGTCGCTGCAGGGGATGACTGCCCTTTCAGCTATACTCATATATTTGAGAAAAGATGTTTCCTAACTGTGTAAGTTGTTCCTGCAGAGAGATGTGTTCCCTAGCTGGCATAAGTCTCCCTGGAGACCCCTGATTCTAGGTGGCGGTCTTCCCTGCAAAGCACGTACAGTCCATGGGTCCTAGCGAACTTCAGACTTTGAGGAGGCCGTGGGAAGCAAATCCACCCATGGTGCCTGAGTTTCTTGGTAATAGTTAATATTGACTTGGAAGTCCTATTCATCCTTTCAACTTTTCCAGAGCTTTGTGGCCTGTATGCTGTATATAGGTTTCAATTGATTTTTAATTCTTTAGTTTCTGGGTTACTTCTGCCAGAAGTGCAGGTCTGTTATTACTGCCTATGCTGAGGGACAGCCCATGTCTGGGGATAATTTCTCTTAGTAATACTCTGCAGACTTGAGTGGCTTTCTTTGTTCCAGTGGGCACTGCCTCCAGCCACCCAGAATAAGTGCAGACAAGCACCAGGAGATATTTGTAGCCACTACGTGGCTTGACTTACGTAAAGTCTATCTGCAGGTCTTCAGAAGGGGAGAGTCCAGCATGTTGGATAACAGGTGAGGGTTTAGGTCCCAGTGGGGGTTCAGTCTTTGAACAGATTTGACGTCTCTACTCACAGAGGCACAAATTGAGGCTAATTTTGGGAAATCATAGTAGCAGCTTATAAGCTGATTCATAGCAGTTTTTCCTCCACGGGTGATATGATGGCGTTTTACCCAAGCATAGGCCAAATTCTGTGGAACTATCGTCTGATCATCCGATAAAGT